TTTCGCTTTCCTTTTTGCGATACGCGTTTTGTTTTGTCTATATTTGTGGAAAAGCGTGTTAGGTATTTGGAAAATCGCACGACTACATAAAATATTCAATGAAAACTAAGTGTGGCTCGGTTAGGTGTTGGCATTATGGTGAACGCAAAAAGAAGTACTTGCCATATATAACTATGTACAAACATAAGTTTAAATGTATGTATGTATGTGCATTCAAAATACTCCATGTATTTAAAATGGTGGGGTCTTAAAAAACTAGATCAGTATTATCGATAAATTTCACGGAAGTGTCTCCGCGCTAATGTAAAATAAGTACATAGCTTTACAGTGGGGAAGTTGGGGCAAAATCCATTTTTCGTCCGGAGGCGGCGTAAAACTGTATGTCCCTCCATTTGTGTAACAATATCAAGATGCACTACACAAGTTGGAATAAAGGTCGGCCACACACTTAGCAAAAAGTGTAAGCGCCAAAATAGGAAAGAGTCCCAAACAAGAGTTGAGGAACCAAGTTCAACCATACTAGCTCCTCTGATAATCCTGGGCTCGAATCGACACACACGATATGCAGATGTGTGAACTCGCCAAAAGATGTAGGCGGTTTTAGGGGCTGTTACCATCGACTAAATTCTTAATAAGTCCGAAGAGGGTTTAACATTTTCTATGAAAGTATTAGTCACTAAACGTTACTGAGGTCTCAAAAAAACAAGATGAACCTTTGAAATCGATTGACGGTACCGAATTTTAATAAAATGTTGCAGAATTTACTATTTCCCCACTCTATATCGTTATTACCACGTTTGGTCGCAATTTTTGTGAGGAATTTACTTTGTGCGCCACTCCCAACCGGCTGTCTATGAGACGCTTTTCCATAGCAAAAGAACATCGAGGTTATTCAAATTTCTTACTACTATAATGGGTGTTTAGTTGAGCCTGGACCCTACCGAGTGTAAGTGCGCTTCTCTAACCACGCAGCTACTTAGTACAGTTATTCAGCTTTAAAAATAATGCTGAACCATGGCTATTGGTCGAGCGTCGATTACCTTTTTTTAAGCATATTTTTCTGCTAATTAACGGTCTAAAAGTTACGCACATACAATATTAGCTCAAACAGTTACATTTTTAGCTGACGAACTTATACAAAAAAAACAACCTTTGTCAAAAATCGTACATTTGTACGTACATACTTATGCACATATATACATAGTTGCATATTTAGGAATATAAATCATCCACCTCAAACAACAGAATGGCTCATACAGAGGGTGGAGCGAATTAAAGTATCCTTTTATGACTCGCTAGTCATTTTAAATGTAGTATGTACATACCTTTCAGCCTAATGGCCTCTTTTGAACCCTATCAAGAATTTTCACCTTCTCTTATAGCAAATACATACATTTATACATATATAATGCTTTCTCATAAGTAGCGATCACTTATGTATGCATGTACTCTTACATATGTGTCGCTTGAAGTTATATACCTGTTGCCATATTTTCGAAAGTAGCAAGTCGTTTCTGTAGCAACCTTTACTGGTAGTAAGGAATAAACTGACGTGACATGTCCGTTTACACACCACCACCCACACTTTGTGGCAGGTGGAAAAACATGTCTAATTGAAGAGTAAATCACATACAAAACACCACCAAACATGTAAACGTGCTTTATTGCGTATGCATATATGTAAGTGACACACCTGCCGCTCAGTACTAAGCGCTAAGATATATGTATGTTTTTCACAAAGTTTGTTAACTTTGACTGAAGGGCGCGTCAAGTTGACGCCGCAGTATTGTGGATCAATAAGGAATGCGCTTCAGACGTATGTACAACAGATGTATGTATGTACGTATGCCTTTTCATATGCGGAAGTTATGTAAACATTTGACGTGTTGTTTACGTGACATGTTGCCATTAAGGTCGAAGCCGTCAATCTGCCTGCCTACAAGGCTTTTCGTCCTGTCACTGACTTTGGCCTTTTGCTGGTGCTGCCGTTTTATATGCTTCATAGCAGTTTTATGGTTTTAAAGGTGTGGAACCTTTTTGGAATCGTTAAGAATAAATGGACTCACTGGAGTAAATAATGAGGCCAATAGCAGATTGGTGGTACATCGTAGGATAAAAGAAAATGTCATTAAGGCCAAATATTTTAAAAATCGTTCATGAATAGAGTAAAATATGATCAATTAGGTAAAGAATTATTCATCCCACCCAGGATTTTTCGACCGTTTTCGTTTCACAAATTTCATTGTTAAAAATGTACCTACTCTAGTCGAACAATCTCTGCAAAAGAAGGAAAAAAAATCGAGGCCCAACTCCTAGCATCCTAGAGCATCTATCTAGCTGCATTTCTGGGATTGGTCAAACATTTGATTCTGAACTCTAAAGTCAGCAATTCACCATTTACAGCAATCGATTAAAAGAACTTAGCATAATGGATCAACAGGAAAGGTATGGTATTCCACCATAACAAGATCAGAAAAAAAAATGGTTGTAATAAAATGAATATGAGAAAGATTTCTTTAAATTTGTTCTAAAATTTTACGCATTTTTTTCGACTACTCGATTATTACCAACTTTGCAATTTCGCGTAAGACATTAGCATATCAAGACTACTAGAGGACTAATTGATGCGTTTTAACAAATTTCCGACGGGCTAAACTATACAGACTTCTTTCCGATAAGATATATCAAAATAAGCAGATTCCCAAGGACCGTCCTACAAGCGATTGGTGGTCGAATTTTCGAGAGATTTTAAAATGTATAAAATTTTGCTAACGCCTGGCAGAAAATAAAATTTCAATTGCAACTCGATTCCAGGAAGAGGCGGAGCAATTCTTTGCTATTGCAGAAAGTTGAACTTTGACAGAGTCAAACTAATCCGCACAGCCAGGATATATGCCATCAATGCGGGAACGGCCATCACCAAAACCTTTGTTTTTATTTTACTTTATTTAATTTTATTCTATTGTATTTTTTTATTTTATTTCATTTTATTCTATTATATTTTTTTATTTTATTTTATTTTACTTTATTTATATGACTGCTGTATGTCCGGGCACCATTTTGAGTAGACCAACTGTGCCGGTAATCCGGATATACGGTTACCGTCTGTCTATGCATTAAGAAAAAATTCTCTCCCAAATAGAGAAAAATTTTCTTTGAGTAGAATTAAAATTATTTTGTATGCTTTAGTGCAGTAAAAATTTAGCGCCATTTGTTAAGTCATTTAAGTAAAACCTGTTAAATTGTATAAAGAACTAATACCAAAAATTTCGGATAATTAATTTTGACCTCAAAAAGTTTCCACTTGTTTCAACGCTTGCACTAACTTAATAAACATAGTATTTTCATCGTTTATATGTATATAATAACACTAACAAATTGTAGAATTTGCATAAATTTCCAAGCTAATTTCTCCTGACCTACATATGTATGTAAATTCTTAACCAAAGTTAAAAAAGAGGTGATTTCGCACGAAAACCAATAAGAAATCGTTAAGAAAAAATTATTGTATGTATAGAAAATTTAATGATTCTGAAAGTAACCGCCGACATGCACCGCAAATCATAAAGTCAAAATTACAGCTATTTTAACAACAAAAACGTCGCAGAAAAAACACTAAAGCTGAAACAATAATAACAGCAATAAAATGACATTCTCCCCAACACATTTCACTAATTCGCCGAATGCAATTTGGCCAACAAATAATAGCATAATGCTAAATGAAAGCCGATAGCTGATAGCCAATGGCAAATAGTATGTACATATCCACAAATGCTAGTGGCCGAAAGTTGATTGCGATTTAAGAATACAAAACTAGTATTAGCAGTGTGGCCAGATGCTCACAAAAACCGAAGCTAAATTGGTTTTGAAAAAGGGTAAGAAAAAGTTATATCCTATAAAAAATTAAGTTAAAAGAAGTCAATATATTCATAACTTAAAAACTCTTTACCAACTCGTCAAGTTTAGCGAAACGGATTACTATTTTCTACACTGATAGTACGCCAACAAATCAAACTGTAAAAAATGCAGTTTAAAGCAATTTTTGTTTACTATTTTTTTATAGACCTACACAAATTATTTTCTCAAAGAAATGTCACTTTGCACTGCCATGGTAATTTTTGAACGGTAGACGATAGGTTTTGAATTATAAAAGATTTTCAGTATGACTACTACTTATTTTTATTAGTTCCAGCACGAATTTTGTTATGAATATCGTAATTAAAAGTCAGTAAAAACCACGAATCTAGACCTAAAATTAAATGCTAAATTAAACTAAATCAAACTGTAAAAAATGCAGTTTAAAGCAATTTTTGTTTACTATTTTTTTATAGACCTACACAAATTATTTTCTCAAAGAAATGGTATTTTGCACTTTTTGAACGGTAGACGATAGGTTTTGAATTATGGAAGACTTTCAGTATGACAACTACTTATTTTTATTAGTTCCGGCCCGAATTTTGTTATGAATATTGTAATTAAAAAATTTCAGAAAAAACCAGGAAGCTAGACCTAAAGTTCCAGGACTAAGTATGGCATAAAATTAAATGCTAAATCTTACTTCAAAGAGGATAGCCTGGTCACACTAACTGTTAATGCCGGCAAATGTGCTTACATATTTATATAGGAGTCCATTTATTTACCTACATACATATGTATGTATGTACTCACCTGAATTCTTGTGTTGCTTGGAAGCTTTCGTCGTCTGTGATTGAGAAGACACAGAGAAAACCCTCACCACTGCGAAAATAATTATCTCTGATGGCAGCGTAATCCTCCTGTCCGGCAGTATCCAATATATCTATTTGTACTTCTTCGCCATCTAAAACGACCTGTAAAGTACAAAGTTTTTTTTTGTTTTTATGCGGAAACAAATTATTGGCTATGCAAATTTGAGCATTTAATTTCAAATTAAATTTTTTAGCTTTTCTTTCAAACCTTTTTTCTATAACTATCTGCTTTGGTTGGTTCGTAATCTTCCACGAATTCGTCGTACATGAATTGTAGTGTTAATGCTGATTTGCCAACGCCGCCGCTGCCCACCATTATCACTTTGTGGAGCGCGGGTCCGACTGTAGGTTTTTTACTCATTTTGTTGGAAGGTTGGCTATTGGTGTTGCTGTTGTTGTGATAACGAGTTGTTGTTTTTTTTGTTAAGTTGAGCTTCCTTTGGTTTTCCTATGCCTTACTTGCCTTTCTGCTGGCTCCTTTTTTTATTTAGTAGCCAGGAAAATTTTGTTGGTAGGCTCAATCTGCCTCTTTTTACCTGCAAAATAAATTGAAAAAAGATTTTTTTTTTTAATTCTTCAAAACACGCAGAAAAACATGGAGAAAAGTGAAAATCTTAAAAAAAGTGTTTCTATTGCCATTAAAAAAATCGCGTTTTTGGCAGATTATAAACGTAAATGGCTGCTGGACAAGGAAATGCACACATCAGCAGCGGCGCAGCTGCAGCTACACTGTCACCTTTTTAGATAATTTGTGTAAGCTACCTGGTATCTGGCAGTCAGCTGGGCAGGAAATTGTAAAAGAAAATTGTGCCGGTATGTGACGTGTAAATCCTCGTTATTAAGATTTTTTAAACACATTCGTAGTTGGTCTTTCACAGTTAAATGGTATAAAATATTTAACTAGTTCGTATTGATAATATTTACATACATACATACATTCAGTGGGGCAAATTTTTAAAGACAGAGTGGACAGATCAATTTTGTGATTGGCTTTCTGTCGATTTTGAACACAAAAGCCAAAGAAGATCCACACTAAGGCTACTTCCAAATAATAAAAAACACATCGATTCAACAAAGTTTGGACGAGTGGCGAAAATAATCATTTTCAAAAATTCAAAAAGTGAATTTGAACGTAAATAAGACGGAAGATACCCGGGAGTGTGACGAGCTTAAAATGCTCGCCGACAGGAAAAATTTACGAAAATTTTGCCAAAGAGTTAGAGGACTTACGGAAGGTTTCAAGACCAGGGTGACCTAGTAACCCATGTCCAAAACGTACTTAAATTATGGAGACAACACTTTTCCATCCTATTGAAGCATAGACAATTGCAATATCCGATGAGGCGGCTTTTGGAGTATGCGAGAGAAAGATTTTGCAGGAGATTTAAGGGCCTTTACGCGTTAACGACGGCGAGGCGAGTAACACGGACGACGGAACGATGAGCTGAATGAGCTTTACAACGAATGGGCATAGAGCAGCGAATTAAAATACAGCGGCTCCGCTGGCTTGACCATGTCATTCGAATGAACATAGACTCTCCAGGCCCTGGAGGAACCGCAAAGGAAGAGGGAAAGACCAAGTGGAAAAGGGCTTGGCTCTACGTGGCATTTGCAAATGGCGTCAGTTGGCACAGAACAGAAACGATTGGTGTGCTTTGTTGAGCTCGGCCAAGATCGCTTAGGCGGCTACAGCGCCAAACAAGATCAATTCCTTTCAAAATTTATATAGGAAAAATACTTCCAGAGTTGACTTTAATGCAAGTGTGTTGACGAGCAACTTTTGAGCTTGATAAGCTCAGTGAAACAATTATTACAATTGCATCCTCGGAATCGCTTGCCCTCGATCCTCTCGAACGGGTAGTATTACAGGCCAAGCAGCGATATTTTCATAATTTAAATCAATCCACCTATTACTTAATACCCACTAAAAAACAAAAGTAGCCTGACCGGAATACCACTAACAAATCAATAGCACCAACTTTGGAAGTCTATAAGCAATCAATAACGCAACTTGTTTGGATAACTGGTGTATTTATGTATGTATGTTTACCATGATATGGGGCAAATGCAACTTAAATGAAATTGGACGTGTTGTTATTTAACAACGGTGGCTAAATTGATATCTATATATACAAAAATATTTATGTTTGACTACATGTATGCGAAATTGGTGATGGCATTTCAATAGATGGTTGGGGTGTGGAGTGCAGGGTTCGGACTACTGAAGCTTGATTTAGGAGTTAATTATGTACTGGAAAAATCGGAGTATGTGTTATACCTTTAACTAGAAAAAGCTTTGAAAAACCTATCTTGAAATTTCAACTGAGTTTTGTGAAATAAACAATTACTTACAATATTTGCGAATCATGCAACAGAATGATATCGAGCCCTAACCGCCCAAGAAAACGTAAGGGACATTTTTTTCGAAATAGTCTTTTTCGTGCAGAAATATTTCCAGAGCAACTAAGCATCTGACGGCTTATGAAACGACGGTTTTCATGAAAGGTATAAAAAACGGAATAAATATACTCCGATCGGTGTAAAGTCTAGATGTTGGTGGAGTCATTTGAAAAAGTAATTGAATAAAGAAAATAACCAGCGTTTTAGATTCAGCCAAAACAAATTCATTCTACTTAAAAAAAAAATCGGGTTGAATGACCAACATTCATATGTACATACATCCGTAGATACGTAATCAATACAAAAGGGGTGCCTTGTTGCCGAAGAGACAAGACTATATGTGAACTATGAACGAATAGATTTCCATTGATTTATTTCAATTTTAGCTATGTAACTATAACTCATTTCATTTTCCATATAAAAATAACAGCTGCAAGAAAGAAGACTTCTGCAACATTTTTATGTCCGTACAATGTCTGAGAGTATGTACTAAGTAAACAAACGTCAGCAACATCGTAACAATGTTAGGAATTATTCCAAGATATCCGCACATAAAAATGTGCATATGGATTTGTGCGATGCTCCCCTTTTGTTGTTTTATTTGGCACGAGTGCGCGCAGACACCACATGTAGCCGGCTGCCCGGCTAGCGAATGGACTAGAGACCGGATTTGACGTAGCGCAACAAATAGAAATGAAATTGAAATGTGCACATACATACATACAAGAGAAGTAGTAAAAGTTGTTGTACAATGTATACAAACATATGTTTTAGATTTCAGTTTTATGGAGCTCAAGAGAAGAGCTGCCTGGCATCATTTGCTTCAATTAGCAAAGTCCAAAAATAGTTGATTGTTTTGCCAATTAATTTGCAACTTGCGTACTATGTAACGGGTGATTTTTTAAGAGCTTGATAACTTTTTTTTTAAAAAAAACGCATAAAATTTGCAAAATCTCATCGGTTCTTTATTTGAAACGTTAGATTGGTCCATGACATTTACTCTTTGAAGATAATTTCATTTAAATGTTGACCGCGGCTGCGTCTTAGGTGGTCCATTCGGAAAGTCCAATTTTGGGCAACTTTTTCGAGCATTTCGGCCGGAATAGCCCGAATTTCTTCGGAAATGTTGTCTTCCAAATCTGGAATAGTTGCTGGCTTATTTCTGTAGACTTTAGACTTGACGTAGCCCCACAAAAAATAGTCTAAAGGCGTCAAATCGCATGATCTTGGTGGCCAACTTACCGGTCCATTTCTTGAGATGAATTGTTCTCCGAAGTTTTCCCTCAAAATGGCCATAGAATCGCGAGCTGTGTGGCATGTAGCGCCATCTTGTTGAAACCACATGTCAACCAAGTTCAGTTCTTCCATTTTTGGCAACAAAAAGTTTGTTAGCATCGAACGATAGCGATCGCCATTCACCGTAACGTTGCGTCCAACAGCATCTTTGAAAAAATACGGTCCAATGATTCCACCAGCGTACAAACCACACCAAACAGTGCATTTTTCGGGATGCATGGGCAGTTCTTGAACGGCTTCTGGTTGCTCTTCACTCCAAATGCGGCAATTTTGCTTATTTACGAAGCCATTCAACCAGAAATGAGCCTCATCGCTGAACAAAATTTGTCGATAAAAAAGCGGATTTTCTGCCAACTTTTCTAGGGCCCATTCACTGAAAATTCGACGTTGTGGCAGATCGTTCGGCTTCAGTTCTTGCACGAGCTGTATTTTATACGGTTTTACACCAAGATCTTTGCGTAAAATCTTCCATGTGGTCGAATAACACAAACCCAATTGCTGCGAACGGCGACGAATCGACATTTCACGGTCTTCAGCAACACTCTCAGAAACAGACGCAATATTCTCTTCTGTACGCACTGTACGCATTCGTGTGGTTGGTTTAATGTCCAATAAAGTAAACTGAGTGCGAAACTTGGTCACAATCGCATTAATTGTTTGCTCACTTGGTCGATTATGTAGACCATAAATCGGACGTAAAGCGCGAAACACATTTCGAACCGAACACTGATTTTGGTAATAAAATTCAATGATTTGCAAGCGTTGCTCGTTAGTAAGTCTATTCATGATGAAATTTCAAAGCATACTGAGCATCTTTCTCTTTGACACCATGTCTGAAATCCCACGTGATCTGTCAAATACTAATGCATGAAAATCCTAACCTCAAAAAAATCACCCGTTAGTATGTAGAATGACGTAGGAATTTAAATATGCATGAAGAACGCACAAATTGTTTTGCAATTCAAATCGAATTTGGGGATGCAATTCTAGAAAACACACACAAAATATCAGCATGGACTTAGGAATGTGCGCGTAATATTCACATAAGATTTTATATATTACTATTTAAGAATCATTTTAAATCTTCTTAAAAGGTATTTAAAATCGCAATCTAAAAGCAAATTATTCGATAGTCTCGAAAACCGCTATCAATCATAAACGTTTTTCGTTTTTTTGTTTTCGGTGAAAGCATCGTAAATAAACAATTTTCAACATTCAATGTTGCATGTAGAAATACATAAAACACCTGTAAACACTTTTCATTAACATATCAACATAAAAAAAAACAACCGCGAAAATTCCATTCTACACATATGTAAATATGAGCGTGTGGAGAATGAGCATTAGCAACAAATAAGTAAATAATAAACAATGATTCCGACGAAAAAAAAAAGGAAATGTAGTTATTGTTCAATTTCAATGCCAAGTACAGCGGTGGAGAATACATGAATACATGATGATGTCATAAATTGTACTCAAAAGGAACTACGATTCCCATGGAGGATCGGCCTTCAATCTGGATCTATTGCATGGAGGAACAATTTACTTGAGTAACATTTTGATCCTACGCTTTTTAAAAGAATGAGACTAAGCCAGTGAGGCAAGTAAAAACATTTTTTTTCATTGTCATACTTTTCACCAAGTGATGATTAGGCTAGAACTCGACGGCGGAAGGTGAACCACGCCAAGATCCTTGGAGTTGTGTTCGTTAGTGTTTTCTGCTTCTCAGCGCATACATATATCAGCTACTCGCAATAAATTATGTGCAAGGAAGGTCATTCAAAGACAATGACACCATTTGTAACTAAATAAGTTTATAATACCAAACAGAAGTTTCAAC